GACTACGAAGACGACGATGACTACTAAACTACTACCACCACCACCACCACCAACTACTACTACTACTACTACTACTGCCACTACTACTACTACTACTAATACTACTACTACCACTCATCACTGCTACCACTACTACTACTACTACTATTACTACCACTACTACTACTACCACCACCACTACCACTACCACTACCACTGCTACTACTACTACTACTACGACTATACCACTACCACTAGTGGTACTACTACCACTACGACGACTACTACTACCACCGCCACCACCACTACTACTGCTTTTACTTTTACTATCGCCACGACGACGATTGCAACTACTACCGCGAGCACCGCGGACCCCGCACCCCGCGGACCCCGCGAACCCCGCAAACCCCGTGGACCCCGCGAACCCCGCGAACCCCGCGAGCCCCGCAACCCGTGAACCCCGCAACCCGCAAACCCCGCGGACCCCGCCAACCCCGCGGACCCCGCGGACACCGCGTGCTGCTTGGACTCTCGCAGCCGCGGTCCATGATGACCACGCACGTGCCACCAGTCATGATCGCGGCTACGACGACCTTTGTGCGACCACTGTGCCACTCGAGGTCAACACGCACACAACACGTCGTCAAAAGCACGTTAACTTGCTGAGAAGAGCAGACGTCACATAGGAACAGTCCAAGCCACGGGGGGGCCCCCCCCCCGACGAACAGAATCAACTCTTACAGGACCAAACTCAATGCACAATCCCAACTTCTGATTGTAATACATTTTTGCTAAAGCAAGGGGAACTCAGGTAGCTCAAGCTACCTTTCGTGACATCAGCAGCAGCAAAGCACGGCAGCATGGCAGCAGCACGCCAGCAGCAGCAAACCAGCAGCAGACCAGCAGCAAACCAGCAGCAACAGCAGCAGCAGCACCACCACCACCACCAACAGCAACAGGCAATGCGGCTCTGCCATCTTCCACAAACACCTTGCTGATGCCAAGGATGCCACTGCCATTATATAATCCTTGCATTTTTGGCATCAGTTCATTCAATAACTTCAGCCTAGCCTATCGGCCTATCCGCTAGCTCTCGTATGGGGCGGGTACCGTTGTCAATTGTAACCACATGGCAAGCATAGACCGTATCAGTCCAGTGTAAGCATAGGTCCCCAGAGTTAACAGTTAAAGCTCAGCCTTGGCTGGTCCAAGATACAGGAGGAAAGAAACTCTGCTGAGGCCTTTGCCCTCAGCGGTCAAGCTGAGGGATTGGCATGCGAGGCTTCCTTCTAACATCGATGGAATATGTGGAGAAAACGTCGGCATTCAGCACACTCAGGATAAATGTACGTACGATATGAATGCCGCATGCCACAGATGTGAAAACCTAAGAGTCCAGGGATTCCACGGTGAAAGCTTAAGAGGTCTAGAATACCAAGTCTGACGGAGTTCGACATGTCTCAAACACAAGTCTGCCAAGCTCATTGTATAGCACTTTACTGCAAACCGAAGCCAAGAAAGAGTTCTTGTTCTAGTGAGAAGCAGGGATCAAGTGGGAAAGAGTTCAAGCAGGAGCAATCTCGTGTCTGTGCATAAGTCGACAAGAACACATTGCCCGATGTATCTCTAGCTCATGACCGTCTCACGCAAACATTGAGAGGTACTGTTTTCTTCTGGGCTTTGCAGGTAATGGCAGATTTGCCATGGTTTAGCTGCAACGCCTTTGAAAAGACTTTGAATTCAACAGCGCTGCTTCGGGGCTTTCAGCAGTAGTTGTACTCCTTGGATGCCACACTTGCCGTCTGCAACCCATGAACATAGCTACATGATGCTACATGGCAGCCTTCTTAACACCCAACTCTCTCAAGCAGTTGAGACACAGCCCGGTTGTGCATGATCAAGCGGTCGTTGACAAAGTAGAAGCCTTTGCTACATTGAAACTGGTTGGGAATTTGCTCCCCAAAGTCCATTGTTGATCAGCTTTGGAAGTAGCTGTATGGGAAGCTTGCAAACGTGAACGTCAATGATCCTGTGGCATGCACACATGCACATGAAAAAATTCTTCTCACAAGCTCAAGGGGCTGTCTGAACGCACTTCCCACGGGCTTGACGTCAATGCTTCCTTGGTCTATGAAAGGCTAGCGGCGCACAAGGAGCTTTGGGAGTGCGTGGATTTGACAAGGCTGTCGGCAAGAGGGCAGCGAACACCAACACCATGCAACGCATTTTGCGGGTTTCAACTAACACAAGATTGCTATGTGCCAGAGGAGAGTCAATGAATGATTTGGATGGCCAATGAAATGCAAATAATGTGAGTCATATTGTGGAGCATCGGGATCATTAGAAGCCATGTTGAAGCATTTGGCATCTGGGTCAAGAATGATTTGCAAGGCTCATGTTCAACTTAGCAAGGACGCTACTGGGGGCTCCTGGCATCGCTACTAGGAGCAAGGACGCTACTAGGGGCTC